TATTAAAGTGATCTCTGCAGATTATCATTCAATACTTAGTGAAAACCCAACTATGTACCAGGTGCTGTCAGAACACAAAGCTAGTTTCATTGCCACCCACTGGGCCTAATTGCAACCCAAATTAAACAGGTAAATCAAACCAACAGAAACACTGACAGCTTTTGCAAGCACAGTGGTCATCTCCCAGAGCAAAGGAGCTGAAAGGCCAGGCAGTTTCCATCAGTTTCTTATCACACCCACCACATTGACCTTAGCTGCAAGTGATTTCAGAAATGTGTAAACTAAAAAGGACCAGCACCACGTTGGATGGCTACGGTCAAGATTTCCTTTCCCAGTGGAAAATGATTCGAGATACAGTGGCGTATTTTAGCATAACTTGTGCTAGTGCCTCTCTAATTGTGTTTGCAGGATTCACAGGGAAGCATTCACAGGAAAGCATTCTGTTGGGATAATTGCTCGTGTTGGTGAAGATCAGTAATTTGGCTCTTCAGAAAATTACTCAAAATGTTGCAAGGAGATTTGCCTACAAACATACAGACCTGAGAAGTAGAAATGGGCACTGTTTTCAGACTCATTTTCAAGACTCGTTAAGAAGTTTGTTCTACAAATTTTTTTGCTTTCAAGTTTCTCAGGAGAGTCTTTATTTTGTTAGGACAGAGACAATTACTGTCCTTTTAATGCATGCAAATATTCTAGTATGAACTTTAAATTTACAAATATGATATGACTTAGGAGAAATTAAATGTGTTGTTATATATGTAATTAGTAAATACATTCAACACACATAATAATGTATTATGGATTTGCTAATTGTTATGTCATAGTGCATATTGTTATGTAAATGTTTAATATTTATTAAATTATATACTGGTTATTATTTATAATTTATTTAGATTCTTTGCAACTGTTGATTAAAGCACATTAATAGTTTATAAAATTATGAATTATAAGTCTGCACTGAGTATATTTATAAATATCCACCATGAGGAGATTAAAGGAGTGTGTTCACACTTTCCAGTGAAATTAGAATTATGTGTATGAGCATGCACACTCAACAATACACTCAAAAACATGTGTAATGTTATAACCAACATCTCTAGAGTTGAAGCTGTTCAGATATTTGTATACTAGTAACGTGACACATTTTAACTCTAATCATTTTTCTGCAAATTTTTCTTGTGTAATTGATTTCCTTTCTGAAAGTGTCTACATGCAAGCTAATTGCACAGCAGAGATATACTTTTCATTTTTTTTTTTACAAATTTTCCTTCAAAATGTCTTTGCCTCCTTCAGAATATTTAGTAAATTGGTAATAAGTGCATTGTCTTATGAGAGTGGGAAGTTTGATTAGAACTCTGAAACCATTGTTTGAGATTTTGTCAACTACTAGCGTCATCTGCCTGTGACTCTTTCATCTATGAAATAGAAAAACAATGTTCCTCATAAAGGCCCATAATTAAATTCAATGATGTTTATTTACTGTTAAATCTACTGACAACATGCCCCATCTTCCCTAGTTTAAATAATACTTATAGATATTATAATGTACAACATATATTCAATATATTATTTTTTAATCATCTTTTAACTCATGTCCTTTATTTCTCACATCATAGTCACCACAATAAAGAATTTAATCAAGGAAAGTAGTTCAAATTTAAATTTTCATTTCCATTGATGCACTGTGAACAACTTCAGTGAATAAAATAACTGTGTAATTTGAAAACAGAGCAGAAAACAGAGCTCTCTTCTAAATAACTGGTGTAACAACATTCCTTGGTCTATATTTGTGAATTAAACAGAACTTAATTCCACTTCTGTTTTTTGCATCCTGCTAATGAGCTGATTACAAATAGCTATTCTTAACTGAGCATCTACTTGTTTATCAGATACATTTAGAAAACAAATGCAAAGCAGACCTTTGGGAGTTTTTAAGCTGCAGAATTTTAGTCAGTACTAACGTGGTTCAGTTTTACCCTTTCAAATCAGATTTTGACCTTGGTAGCTTTAAAGACCTTAGTAGTTAAAACTGAAACATGAAGTAAAATGATAGGAATCTATTAATATGTAATAATGCCATCAGAATCACAATAAAGAAACTACTCTTCTGAAATTACTAGATCCAAATTTTCTATAAGATTTTGCTTCATTTAAGAAATACATTACAGAGGGATGTCCTATACTACTTAGGAAGAGGATCTTTTGTTTTTTTCATATCAGTCCATAGCAGACAAAGGTTATCATCCTGGAGTCACACCACAGATTTGCACTTGAAGTGTCATGAAGTTGGGGCATGAAATCTAATCTTATTTGTTGTAATTTTTTTTGAGACAGGGTTTCTCTCTTGTAGCCTTGGATGTCCTAAAATTCACTCTGTAGATGAGGCTAGCTTCAAACTCACAGACATCTGCCTGCCTCTGGCTGCCAGCTGCTGGGATTAAAGGTGTGCTCCATCACGCCTGCTGTAATTTGTTTTATTTGTAAATTTAGCGATCTTATATTATCTAAAAAGTCTTCCTACTATAATTGTTTCTATGACTAGAAAACTCAAATAAAGATGAAACAGAAGAGCGTATCTAGTTTAGTATTCAATATTTGAGCCCTGTCAAAGGAAATGCCCAATAAAAGAGACTTATCAAAAATGTATTCTCAGGAATCTATCAAATGATTAATTCAGCAAATGGAATCAAGACATGAGTATTGAAATGGACATAGCTTTGGACCTTCCACATTTCATGAGCTTACTTTTGCCTTGTAGTTTCTATAATCCTCTCTTGAGGCACAATTTGTTATTTGTAGAAGATAACCTGAGAGGTCAAATTTTCTGAACTTGTATTCAAGTTCAGAAAGATTTTCTTTCTTGTATGATCAATAAATTTTGAAATTGCCCTTTGTTTCCACTCTTTATTATTGCCATGTGCTAATTTCAAGGTGCATTAAGTATAATTATTTGTTTAATAAAAGCAACTGTACAGTGTATTTGAGTAGCAGGCTTCACTGAAGTTGCCCTAGTCCTGGTTCCTTTTTATAGTAAATCTCATCCCTACTCTACACAAACTATACTGATCTTTAAATGTAATCACTCCACTAAAGGGCTATTTAAAGAGTAGACACTCATATTTTTAAGATGCTGGCACTTTAGCTTGATGAGCTAAATGAATCTGAGATTTATTATGGAATCCTCCTGTCCCTTTGTTAGATAGAAATAGTGAAGCTAACTTATGTACACTTATATGTTCATATTCCAGAAAGATTATATTACTGACTATAATAATGGTATTATGAAGACACTTATGAGAGCCTGGGATGGATTGAACATAAAGAAATCAAGGTAGGGGTTAGTTATCATAACAGAAGGAGGTACTAATTTCTTGTGAAATACCAGAAATATTACATAAAGTGTTGAGAAATGGATATAATAAAGACCAAGATGGGAATGAGTAAGTTATACACAAAAGAAGAGAGATACAACAAAGATGTAAAGTCAATAGCAGAGTTGAGAATCCAAAACAAAGCAAAGAGCTAGTAGGTAAGACTGAAGAATGAGTGTAGGTGAAGGACTGGCCTCAGTGTATGCATGAATTCTGGTTTTCTTGATTGTACTGTAAGAAAGTTTCTTATACAAAGTGTTATGGGTTGAAATCCAAACATCCATTTGAAGTACTTATTAGGAGGTATAATATTTAATGGGAAATGTAATAATTTCATGAAGCCAGATCCTCTGTGAAAGAGACTAGTGCTGAAGAAAGGGACCTCAGATAGCTCTCTTGCTCTTTCTATCATGAAAGGACACAGCTTGGAGAAGATATTTGTCTTCTAGAAAGTGGGTTACATAATGGGAAATCTCCTTATGTCTTGATGTTGGACTTCCAAGTCTACTAAGCAGTGAGTAATAAATTGACACTATTTACAAGTTTATGGTATTTTCCCAGTAGTCCAAGCAGATAGATTCTTATGGGTTCAATTTTAAAAAGAATAACACATCAACAGTTCTAAACAAACTTGATTGCCTCGAGTCAGCATGGGTAGCATTGCCCTATGTTGTTCTTTGTGTATGGTAGAGCATTGAGTACACTAAAAATGGATCATATCATTTACTAATGCAATACTGCCAACCATCAGTTCTAGCTAGAAGAAATGAAATTTGTCCACAAATATGTAAAATGTAATTTTAATTTTAGTTTGATTCTGCATGTAAGCAAAACGGTAACACAATTTATAAGTAGAACTTATATTTGTTTTCTATCCCTTTAGTAATTAAGCTTCTTTCATTAATTTCACATATTTAATACATATGCATTGAATATTTATATTTCTTAAGAGTTACTCTAGACATTGGAATACAGAAGTGAAGGAAATAAGGCATCTCTTCATATTTCTTTGTTTTTAATTCATGTAAATTGCATCCTCTGTGGATCCTCTGGACAGAAAATCAACTTTCTCCCATTCCTTGATGCAGTTCTTTATCTATAAAATGTTCCTACAACAATTTAGTAATTGAGATAAAATTATCTGATGAAGGTAGTAGAGTGCTCTTGATATGTAACAATTTGACAATTGGAGACTGATATTTTTTTCTCTTGGCAATTTCTACATTTTTGAGCCAGACTCAGACAAGCTTTCTCTCTTGGATGGGATCCATTGCAGAGCCTATTTAAGTGTGTGCATATAAAGAATTAACACATTTTACTGAAACATTTGTAACCTAATTAAATTATCTTTGTGTAACTGTTTCCACCTTATGTATTAAAGTCATTATTCTGAACCTTGAATCGAGTATATGATTGAATTAGAGGATACATCTTCCTAGAAACATATAGTACTTAAAAAAATAATGAATTAGTACTGTAGCCACAAGTTTTCTTCTGAAAGATAGGACTGCACAATTAAATCAGTCTATGGATAAAAAGGAACAAAATTTGGCTTTAGAGAAGCAAGTAGACATTTTGTTTGCCAGGGCATGTAGTGACTTATGTGCAGACTCAACATAGGAAACTTACTTTTCCCCAGGTTCCTCACGTTAACATTTTGGACTCGATTATTATTTGCTCTCAAGCACTTCCTCAGGATGCTTCGCAGGAAATTTATTCATGTCCTTTCTCTCTCCCTTCTGGATCCCAGTAGCATCATACTCTAACAAAGCAATAAAAAAAGAAAAGAAAATCCAAACATTAACAAATGTTGCCTGAGGAACAAAATAGTCCTGTGTTGTAAAGCACTACCACACACACACACACACACACACACACAGAGAGAGAGAGAGAGAGAGAGAGAGAGAGAGAGAGAGAGAGAGAGAGAGAGAGAGAACAAAAAAGCCTTTGAGCTAGTAATCAGTGTGTTAAAAATGCCTATAATACTGGGATGTTGGAAGTTCATTCCATGTGGAAATGGAGAAGAGGGAAATAAAGAGTGAACAGACAGGTATCCATAATTCAATTGTTTGGCATAACTTTGATTCTTTATTATGACTCTTCTATTATCCTCCTTTCAATATTCTTCAATAATAAGCCATTCTGCTTGAGCTCTGAGAAGGTAGAGCAAGATGCTGTGCTCAAGCTTCAAGTGAATTGACAGAACATAGCACAGCTTCAAGAGGCTGGGTACAGCATCCAAATAGGAACTTCCAGTAAAGAGCAGAAATGTAGTCAATGACAGAACACTGTCAGATTGAATCTCTGTCGCATGCCAGTAGTCCTTGATCATCTTCCAGTGATATATGCAGTAAAATGACTGAGATATTTAGATTTAAGTTCTGTGGGTGGTTGGTAGAAATAAAGAGTAAATCTTATTTTTTTCCTATAATCACAGAGATGTTCAGTATCTGACACTAACAAATATAATGTGAGTTCTTGGATCTCAAAGTAGACAATAATTAGGCTTATCATCATTACTTTTCTATCACTGTGAAGAGACAGCATGACCCAGGCAACTTATAAAATGAATCATTTATTTGGAGGATTGATTACGGTGTCGGAGGGGCAGTTCATGAGCACAATGGGAGGGAGCAAGAGAGAAGGCAAGACAATCATGATGCTGGAGCAGTAGCTGAGAACTTATATCTTCTCTGCAAGTTGGAGGCAGGGAGAGACAGACGGTGTGATAGGAATCAAATACTTATAAACAAAGACTTATAAATACATTTTGGCCTAGTTATCAAATTTCTAATTCAAAGGATTTCATCCATATTATGTTTCAAAACTCCATGGACAAAGGCATTTGAGATGTAGTGTTATTTATAATAAAAACACAGAGAAATAGATAATGTCTTAGCGTATAAATATGGTTTAGACTATTAAGATACAAGTCATGCCATCAAATAAATTTATCATACTTAGATGTTTGAGGATGAAGAAAGTGTTTATGAAATATTGTGATAAAAGTATTTCAAAATATCCAACAAATATATTTCAATGAATACAAAGACATTTGTGTATCTTTTCCTTCTTATCCTGAAATAACTTGAGGATCATGAACATTAGTTTATAATAAATTTGGTAAATACATTTTTTTGGTCTAATGTTTCTACATGGACAGGCTATTTGTGTTCAGGCATTTTTCCTCCACAGGTTTTGAATTCCTTCATTTTAATAAAGTTGCAAAAAACAGGAACAATTTCTACATAAAGATTTATTTTTTTGGCTGAAGAGATTGCTCATTGGTTAGGAACACTTTTTGCTGCTGCAGAGGACCAAGCTTTGGTTCCCAAAATCTACTTGGTAGCTCACAACCATATGTAACTTCAGCTCCAGTCAATCTCATACACTCTCCTTTCCCCCATAGGCATCAGGCATGAGCATGATGCACAGACATAAATGCAAACAAAATACACACCACATAAAATAAAAATAAATAAATTTATAAAATGTTTTATTAGAATATGAAACTGACAATATTGAATCCTCTAGGAGGCCAAGGATGTTATTTTCCTCAAAATGAACATGAATCATCTCATAAAATGGTAGAACATGAGATTTACTTAAATCATTTGTGCTTAAATAGAATAGTTGTAATAAAATAATGTATAATAGTAAACTCTGAGGTGGAATATTAGTACTTTGAGTTTTTATGGGAAGGAATTCTATTAATGCCACAAGTATACTTATTACTAATAATACAGTTGATCATCCAAATTGAAAATTAATGAAAATACAACGTTATTAGTAGAAGAAACAAATGATTCTCCACATTGCTTTTAATACAATTATCAATTTTATTTCATTTCAAAGATGCATTTGATCCACACCTCCTGTAAGTCAAACCTGTACTTGTATGAAAGGCATTGCCTAAGAGAAGGATGTACCGCTATCCAGTGTGCAATAACTGCCCTTCACATAATAAGCTTTGTGCAGTCATCAACTTTTTCAATACTACGCATGGACAACAAAATGATTTCTGAGTGCTCTGATCAATATTTGGACAATCCACATGTCACATCATGATCCTTGCTACATCACATAGTTTCCTCTCTAGCCACTGTTTGATTCCATTTTCCCTTCTTTTTGCCCAGAATATGTTCTTGAAATTTTGTCATTGATTGTTGTGTCAACAAGCTATGGATTTGTTACATTTCCTTTTCTGTCCATCATTATATTTGCCAAGTATAACATGGTGAAGAAAAATATATCCCCTTGGAGTTATGAAAAATATTATTCTGGCAAGTAACAAATTATAGGCTAATATTGCATAATTTCAGAGAGAAGTGAGAAGTTATCTGTCCAGAGGGAACATGAAGTAGCCGTGAAGGAATATGACCCCATGTATCTTAAAAGAAATTAAAAAGTAAGAATGTGTGATGATTAGGGAACCTTTCTGTCATCAATCTGCCTCATCCTTTTCTTAATTTCAAAAAAGGAACAGTTAAGCTAGTAGAGCATTTACAAATGGAAGTGTTAAGATCTAAATCTACCAGTGTAGATCAACTGTCACATGCTCACAAATAGCCCGGTAAAACAGCTAAAACGCTGTTGTAATAAGGAAGTAGAAATTATTTTTAAAGACACTATCATTAGAAAAAGTGGTATAAATGGAGACAGGAAGGCAGAAACATGATTGTCTATTTACAGAGGTCTCAGGCTATCTGTCTGTACACACAGTGCATAGTTTTCCTCTTTTGTGGTAATAGAAAAACCCAAACAGGCAATTTTCTAGACAAGTAAATGAATAGGTATAATGGTTTGTGACATTTTAAAAATATAAACGGACACATGGAATGTCCTGTTTCCTAATAGTATAATTTTGACGCATATGAATTCTGTCAACAGACAGAGTAAACAAAAATAATACAAGGGAGAGGGAAATAAACACAACCTTTATACACTGCCCAGAGCACACTGTTCATGCCTTGCTTCTATGAATAGTTTATACTCCTGCATGCTTTTTGCAGAAACAGATTGCAGATGTAAGAGGGAGAATCTCCTTGAGAAGATAATTTCCACATATAATGCGCCTTATCGTTTTCTATCTCTCTGGTACTCCTTCATGTTCATTTTATTGATTCTTCTAAATCAAATTTATCTGCTCTCATTTACCCATGCACCCATTCCTGTTGGTGTTTCTTACTACTCAGCTTTTCATAGATTCCTGAGTTCTGTTCAACATGTTTTTATTTTTATAAATGAAATAACTAAAGCACTGTGAAAAGCCTCTGAAATCTTTCTCTGGTCGGTAAAAAATTGATACCTTGTCTTACATGTAAATTTTTTGGTCATATACAGATGAAGGAAGCATTTCTAGGCTGTTTATACTGGGCATGGTATGCATGGCTTGGCCATATTTGTAGACACATTATCTTGATCAGAGAAAAGCATGCTGACTGATTGAAGACAGGGAGAGTGTACAGAGATAATTTTTTTAGGTGTTGCCTTTACACTGTCAGTCTGCTGGGAGATGAAAAACTGACCCAGGCAAATGAAAGCAGATCACCCTGCCAGTGCAGTGGAAAATAAATGTACTTGTGAGATACACTAGTTTACTTTGGGATAAGAAATAGTTGAAAGTTTTGGGAATATGTGCCACCCGGCTTGCTGGATATCTAATAGATCAATTTAGATTGTGATGCAGAACAGTCACAAAAGCTTAAGTTGATAACCCTCTGCGGGGGAGGTGGGGAGGGCACTATGATGACTTGTATTTCAGTCTTTAACCATGAAGTTGGGTACACTCACCATTTTCTTTTTTATGTTTTCTCATTTTGTGAACTGTGATTCGAATCCATGTCCTTGTGCTTGCTAGGTGAATGCTCTACCAGTGACTACATATTCGGCTGTGGTGCTTGACTTATGGATAATAAGGTTGAAAACACCAAGGTCTTTGTTTTGGATTTTCTGTTGTTTGATTTTGGCATAGCATAATACTAACTCCCTTTCCCAAGTCAAACTCAATTTTGTGTTTCACACAATGTACTATTTTAAATCTCTGTATGTGTGCCTGTGTGTGCATATGTTCACCTTTCTGTCAGCACATAGACCTGTACATATGGAGGCCAGAAATTGATCTCAGATATCCGATTCTACAACTTCCCGCCTTCTTTTTGCTTTTTGTTTTGAGACAAATTCTTTCACTGATCGTGGAGCCAGTTGGGAGGACGCACTAGCTAGTGAGTTTCCAGCGATGCTGTGTGTCTACACACACTGTGCTAGGGAGTTCCAGGGATGCTGTGTGTCTACACACACTGTGCTAGGGAGTTCCAGGGATGCTGTGTGTCTACACACACTGTGCTAGATCTACAGACCCATGCCACTATGTGGAGTTTTCACACCATTGACATGGTCAGAACTCAGTTCCCCCTGCTTACATGGCCACTGTTTTACAGACTGAGCCATCTCTCCAACTCTAGTCTTTTGTACTTCTTTCTGTGTTCCAGGCCTGCTGACTGCTTTCAGAACTCTAGCCTCTGCTTCGGCTTGTCCTGCCTACTCTGGCTAATCTCTCTCTTTTCTTCAAAATCTCCTGAAGTCTTTCTTAACCACACTATTTAGAAAGGATTCCCCTGTCTCCCTGTCTTCCTCTCCTTACTCCCCACTCCCTCTCTTTTACCAACCACAGCAATTCCCTTTTTAACATTTTTTTATGTTTTCATAACCTGATTTGTTTGATAATCTCTTGTCTATGCCTGTTTTTTCTTTTTTTTATCAATTTACTACCAAATTGAGGAAGGATCAAATGTCTCCTGTATAGATAGCTCTGAGAAAATATTTTGTCCAATCAGTCTTTCCACTCTGTCATAGTTTCCTTTCTGTGGCTGTGATAAAGCACCATTGACAAGGGCAACCAGGGAGTCAAAGGGTCCTTGTCTTACAGGACTCAACCACAGTCTATCATGAAGAATGTTGAGGGCAGGACTACTCAAGAAAGGAACCTGAAGACAGGGGTAATGGAAGAATGGTGCTGACAGGCTTCTTCCTCATGGCTTGCTTAGCCTGCTTCCTTGTACAACCCAGAACCACCTGCCTGGCCACAAGACGAATTTTCCAATGGAGTCCCCTTTTCTCAACCAGTTCTAGTTTGTATCATACTGGCAAAAAACGAATCACCGCACATACACAAAGAATTCTCATTCTCTCTCTCTCTCTCTCTCTCTCTCTCTCTCTCTCTCTCTCTCTCTCTCTCTCCAAAAACACACTAGTATAAATACACCACAGATTTTGGGCTATTGATACAGCATTAGAATATAAACATCTAGTAAGAAACTCCACTAACGGATGATGGATCATTGCTACTACCATCCTTCTTTCTTTGTCAATGCCTTAAAGAAACCTCGAGTTCAAATGACTTTACAGACTATCAGATGGTTCTCTCTCATAGTTCTATTATTTGCTAAATTGGCTCTTAGTAATATCAAAAAGCACATAGTTGCAGAACAATATTTCTCTCATTACTAACAGTATGTTCTTGCTTGTTTGTGTGTGTGTGTGTGTGTGTGTGTGTGTGTGTGTGTGTGTGTGTGTGTTTGCACAGACATGTTTGTGAGTGTGCAATAGGTTCTTGGCTACTGCAGGTGTCAGACTGAAATCCTGTGAGCTTTCTGGGGAAGAGATTATTTGTCACTCGTATTAGCTTTGTAAGAGTCTTCTATGGTTGCTTATGCATGGGTGCTTTCTTTCAGTCCCATAGGAAAATCAAGAAATGGTAGAAAAAAAAAAACCTAGCTGTTTGCTTTTCACACCTATGAACACGCTGCTTCCACCCTTTCCTAGAAAATGCTGACCATGAGGTCACTAACAGCACTTGGTACAACTCAGGGACACTGAAAGGTGTTGGGGTAGTGTGTTGGCAAAGATCTCTCTAGTTGCCTTGCCTGTTATAAAACCAAAACACAGAAGAGGGTCTGGAGCTGCCGGAGCAGAGAATGATTTCAGTCAAGGAGTTGAGGTATGGCTCATTTTGAGACCGGAAGCTCCCCCTCACCTCCTCCCACAAAGGCTATCCCAGGATACGAAGAAAGCTAATCTTCCATATGAATCATTCAGGCCACAAGAGCAAATCTCCAGTATTCCTGCTGGTTCTTTTCTGCTCTTACCCCAGCCCTCCCTGAAGCAATTCTTTGGGGCTTGGTCTGATGTTCTGAGCCTGTGCATGTTTCTACACTGATCTTTGTCTCTGTTCTTGCTGATAAGAAAATCACCAGGGTGTTCCCGGAGTCTGGAGTGAGTTGGCTGACCACTTTAACGAGCCCGAGCAAAGTGTTGACTGAGAAGGACCTTTTGCCAGCTGCAGCTGTTCACTATGACCCTGGGCAGAGACAAGGGCCCTGGGGGCCAGAGATTCTTTCCCTTGCCAGTCTCTTGTGACAGGTGTCACATAAAAGTGACACCCCCGAAACCCTGTTTACCTATTCCACCAGCAGAAATCATGCTCATCCCCAGACTCTGGGTGAAGGGGCCTGACACCAGAGCACCACACATCCCTTTCAAGTCTCACACCATGGTGAGACTTGCAGTTGCAGGTGGCACACATACTCAGGGCTTGCAGGTGACTGACCTGAGGAAGAGTGTCAGCTCTATTCCCCCTCTTACATTCCAGGCTCTCCCTCTTCACACTCCAACGGGGAGATGCACAGTGCTAATCCTGGACAGCACATAGCAAACCCAGGACCGTCCTATATCGCAGTGTTATGCAGGTCGCCCCCGTGGGTCGCATCCACTCCAATGAATTGGCATCTAAGCAAGTACTTCACTTCGTCTTTGTTGGTCCATCTAAGGTAAGAGGCCGAGGCCATTCACCCTAGAGGACAGTTATTTCCCTCTTCCACGGGCAGTCAAAGCCTTAAGGGTGCCAGACCTCACCCCGGTTAAATCCCAAACACACACAGACCCTGCCACCTCCGCTTTGAAGGAACTGAGGAATGCTCCACCGGCCCACTGCCTCCCCAACCTTCTGAGCCCTGTGCATGCCAGGCTCGCCCTCAGCCGTGCTCAGGGACGTCCATCCAGGAGGCAGAAAAAGGAAGAGGCTACAAGGGTTGCAGGCTCCCCTGTTCTAAGAGCCACGGTGTGAGCGTGCACCACGGGTCATTTTGCCTTCTGCCGGTTATTTGTCCTCTCGCCTGGGCTCGAACCCGCGGCCCTGGGTTCCACTGCGGACGAATCCGGGGAGGGGG